ATGTGAACATGGTGAAGTATGTTGTTGACTTGAGAGTTGATAAGTCAAAGTCTACTCTGCGGGTTCCACAGGGGGCCACCCTTTTAATTTCTACACGTTATAACTTATTGTTATGATGTTCCACACATTTTCTTGTTTTTTAAGTCATGCGAGAGAGACATCAGCAAATAATGATAAAATGACGGGATTTGTAAAGCAAGTAGTGTATGAAAACAAATCTATATGTTAATGGCTCTCTGCTTATTATTATTTTTTTTTTTATAACACTAAGATCAAAACAGAGTACGAAGAAAGACAAAAAGTGATAAAGTAACAACAGAAAAATAAAATATTAGTAGACACCATCACAAGACAAAAGGAAAAAAAAAGAAGAAAATAAACATTGTTCAAATTAGCCTGTAAAGATTGGCAGTGAATTATTCAAATTATATTCGATAAAATGCAAAAGGGAAAGCCGAATACTCATTCGTTTAAGTAAAACATCGACTTAAAAAAATATTTCAGATGATTTTCGATTTCAACAAGAAAATTTAGTGTATTTAAAAAAAAAAATTTAGAAATGCTTTGAAATTTTTTTCGTTATTTCTTTTGACAAACTAATATATTCATAATTTGAAATTTAGAAAATAAATTATTACGTAACAAGATATATGTCATATAGTGAAAATACAATACAATGAAATTTATTGATATTTTAGATAATAATGTTTTTTCAATTTTAATTGATTTTTAATGAAAATATATCTTTTTTGGGTCAAATATATCTAAATGTATTATTTGGATACACATTCTATTATTAATTTATTATAGATTGGTCTTGGGCTAAAGCCAACAACAAGGAAAAAATCCATTTACCAAAACCAAAGCTATATACCAAATTTCAAACCGGACCAAACCAGTTCCCTCCACTACCATTCTCATTTCGGTTAAAATTCAACTTCCCGGTTCAAGCAAACTGGTTTACCAACGTCGTCGTTCTCCTCCCTCTTGACTTTTCCCAGACTTAAAACTTCTCTCCTCGCATCGCCGGAAACTTTGTCGCAGAAGCAGCGATTCGCAAAACTAATAAACTTCCAAAACCAAAAGTGAAATCAAAGAATCCCCAAAAAAATGGAGAACAGAGAAGATCTCAACTCAATCCTCCCATTCCTCCCGCTTCTACTCCGTTCTTCATCACTCTACTGGCCACCGCGCGTGGTTGAAGCTCTAAAAGCCATGTCCGAAGGCCCATCTCACTCCCGAGTCGACTCAGGAGAAGTTCTATGGCAAGCAATCTCCGATATGAGGCGATCACTTTCTCTATCGACTCGCCTTCTCTCCCCTTCTGCTCCTAAAGGCTACGCCTTTCTCTTCGACGAAGTGAGTAATGTATTAAAAGGATGTGATTTGTTTGTTTATAATGAAAATTGTGTGATGGGTTTTGGGATTTGGATTAAAAGGTTTTGTCTTTTTTTTTGTTTTTTTAGTTGATTCATGGGAGAGAGTCGAAGAGGTGGTTTGATGAATTTATACCTGCGTTGGCGAGGTTACTTCTTCAGCTTCCTTATCTGTTGGAAATGCATTTTCGGGAGGCTGATGACGTTGTTGGTGGAGTTAAGACGGGTTTGCGGTTGTTAGAGCCTCAACAAGCTGGCGTAGTTTTACTCAGCCAGGTATTTTTGATGCAAAGTTGTGTTACCTACATTGTTTGTTCTTGGCAACTTCTGTGAATCAGATGACGTCCAAGTAAAAGTTTGTTTTTAACACTTACTGTACAGATGTTGCCATTTTGTAAAATATGAAAGTTTTTTTTCCTTTTGGTTTTACATAGTTTCATTTGCTAGATTTTTTTTAGGTGAGAGGATATTGGAACATGGTCTTGTCTAAGGTGTCGTTAGTCTCTATTGATTTTCTTACAATTAGGCTTTCAACTTTGCAGGAGTTGATCGGAGCTCTTCTTGCATGCGCTTTCTTTTGTTTGTTTCCGGTTTCTAATAGAAGTGCAAAAGACCTTCCAGTCATCAACTTTGATCATTTGTTTGCGTATGTGATCTCTCTCTCTCTTTGACTTCTAAATTTTTCTAACAGTTAGGACTACATTGGTCAGGTCTGGAAGAAATGCGTAGTGTTGAAAAATTGGTTTTATTTGGCTTAAATGAATCATAAGTGATCAAGCAAGTTTCTATGAAAGAATGAGAATTTTAGTAGTTGTTTCATTGACGATCACACTCGATAGTCTAAAGAAAGTAAATCCTCTAGAGATCCTTCACTATCCGTTGAGAGCTCACTTCTTAGACTTGAAAGCTTGTTTTTATAAAACATATTCCTATTAAATATTATTGGTCAGAATATGTCATGTAAAGATTTTGTATTTTGATCTAAAATTCACTTTTGGCATCTTGTCTCGTGACCTTCGGATAAAGTTTGAAGTCTTAGAATTCGGGTAAGTGCAGTCCGCCATCATAGTTTCGTTTGCTTTTCAGGAGCCTTTATGAAAGTTATAGTGAAAGTCATGAAAGCAAGATACTGTGTATCATGCATTACTTCGAAAGGGTGTGCTCCTGTATGCCCACTGGGACTGTTTCATTTGAACGCAAGATTCTTCCAGCTGAATGCCACAATTCTTCTACCACTGCTCCTGACGCTGATTTTTGGAGCAAGTCTGACATTTCCCTTTGTGCTTTTAAGGTATTTTACTTACTTTTGCACCACAATATTTGCAAATGCTTGTGAATTATATTTTCCAACAGCTTTGTTGTTGTAGGTTCACTCTTCTGGGTTAATAGAAGATCAGCCTGACAATGCTCTGGAAGTGGACTTTGCAAACAAGTATCTTGGAGGTGGAGCCCTAAATAGGGGGTGCGTACAGGTTTGAGACGCATAATCCATATTAGATTTCAGAAGCATACATGATTCTTGAGTTCCTTTTTGGGTATAAAAGACTTCAAAATGGATTCTTGTGCAGGAGGAGATACGCTTCATGATCAACCCTGAATTGATTGCTGGCATGCTTTTCTTGCCTCGCATGGATGACAATGAAGCTATAGAAATAGTTGGTGCAGAAAGATTTTCATGTTACACAGGGTGAGCTTTTGTAGTTAAGTAGCATCGTTCTGTGTTTACTTAGTTGTAGCTGTATTAATTGTATTTTGATAGTTCTGTATACTTATTACCCTTTTTCTACTGTAGGTATGCATCTTCATTCCGGTTTACTGGTGACTACATTGACAAGAAGACAATGGATCCTTTCAAAAGGCGAAGAACAAGAATTGTTGCAATAGATGCATTATGTGCCCCGAAGATGAGACATTTTAAAGATATATGCCTTTTGCGGTTTGTGAAACCTTATTTAGACAGTCCAAAGTCTGTGCTACTCTTTTATTTTCTTTACACTTGAAATTTAATGTCTTTTTTCTCTCTTTTTGTCTTTTCTAGGGAGATTAACAAAGCTCTATGTGGCTTTTTAATTCATAGAAAATCTTGGCAGCACCAGAGTCTATTCATAGATAAAGGAGAGAGTGAAATGCAGCTTGACAGCAACGACAAAGATGCTGGGCTCTTGCATACAGAAACCTCTACGGTTGGAATTTTTGCTAAAAATCTTTAGTACCCTTTTCATTTGTAGCCTTGCAGGCATCATTAAACCTTTTGGAAAGTAAAAGTTTCAGACTCTTTTGTTTTTGTCTGCTGCTGCTGGTACAGTCTCATGGAACTCCATTAAATGATGTCGAGACAAATAGAGAAAAGCATGCTAGCAATTTTGTCAGAGATGTGGAAGGATCCGATTGCCTGGATCATGAAGATGTTGGTGTAGCGACTGGGAATTGGGGATGTGGTGTTTTTGGAGGGGACCCAGAACTAAAGGCTATGATCCAATGGCTTGCTGCTTCACAGGTGCTCTTTCTCTAATTATTATAACTTTCCTGGATGGTACAAGTTGAGTACCATTACGCTATATGAATAAAACACAAGGATTACTTATCTCTGAAACCAAGAACTTAATGTATTTCGACTTTATGACGCACCCCCTGTCACTTTTGAGTCTTGACCAATACTTTCTAGACGATGAGATATATAGCGGTTATCATTTGATACGTGTTTCTTGACTTGGTCTTGTCTACTTTCCAGGCGCAGAGACCATTTATATCATACTACACTTTTGGAGCAGAGGCCCTCGAAAACCTAGATCAAGTAACCTCTCTTGCTCTTTGTCACTCCACATTTCTGAATCCTTTCTTTCAGTATCCTGTGTATTGTAATGTTTTGGCTGTGTGTGTACTTCTATTGATTTTGCAACTAATACATCATCTTGCAAGGGCAGGTAACCAAGTGGATTCTTTCCCATGATTGGACCGTTGGAGATCTCTGGAACATGGTGCTAGAATATTCTGCTCAAAGGCTGTGCAAGCAAACAAATCTTGGCTTCTTCTCTTGGCTACTTCCATCTCTAGATACCACCAATGAGGCTACCTGGCCGTCTTGACTGTGCAAATCCGCCTTGATCAAGTTGATTGCCGCATTTCATAGGTTTTTTCCCACACAGATATGTAAAAGTGATTATTCTCAACTAACAAGCATGCAAAAGTTGTATTATCGCCAGTCCTTGATCATCAAGCATCATTCATTAAATGCACTAGTCATGCTGATTTATGCCTTATGGTACTGGTCAAGTGTTTAAATCACTCTTAATATTTTAATGAAACAAGTTCTTTTGTCTTGTTATGCTGAAATTTCCCGGTCACAAACCCTTGTTGACAGTGTAAACTGTAAATGAATGGACTGAGTCTTTGAGGACAACGTGTTCTTGTTTGACTTTGGTGCCGTCTGTTATAAAGAACTAAAGTTAACGAACTATGTATACAACATCAGATATTGATTTCTTCTCCTTAATCCATTGCATACTTTTATCTTCTGCTTTGTAAATGTTTTTCAGGAAATTAGGAAAGGCGATAAAGAATGAGAAGAAGGAAGATCATAGGTCACTTCTTAAGTATTTGCCTCTTGTGGCGCAGTCTTCATCTCTAGCCTGGCCACGTTCTGTGGAACAAGAGCTCCAAACAATGGCCGAGGGACCGAACAAGTCAATGGTTAACTCCGGCAAAGTTCTTGCCTTGCATATCACGAACATGCGCAAATCCCTCTCCTTGGATGCAGGTGATCTCTCACCTAATCCACTACAAGGGTACTCTGTTTTCTTTGACAAGGTAACAATTCTTATATCTTTTCAACTATCCTTTTGGTTATTTGTATTTGTTTATTCATTTTCTCTAAAGATGACACCATAGGTCCATAGCTGAACATTTAACATGGGACATTAGAAATTGCATGGACTAATGGACTCACACACTTGTTTTCTTGTGATGCAGAAAATTTCCAGAGAAGAATCAGCTAAGTTTTTTGGTGATGTGGTTCCTGCGTTGTGTGGATTACTTCTCCAGTTACCTTCAATGTTAGAAACACATTATCAGAATGCAGACCATGTTCTTGATGGAATTACAACCGGGCTTCGCCTAATAGCCCCTCAAGAAGCTGGCATTGTGTATCTTAGCCAGGTATATATATACTCATTGAGTTAAAAAAAAACATGTGTTTGGTCCCATTGAATGAAAGTTGCTATTGTACCGCTCACCCCATATTTGCCGTCTTTTGCAGGAATTGATTGCAGCTCTTCTTGCATGTTCCTTCTTTTGCTTGTTCCCTGAAGTTGACAGACGCTCAAAGCATCTTCAAAGCATCAACTTTGATGATTTGTTTTCGTATGTGACTCCTTTCTTTTCCTTACAAGTTACAACTATATGCCTCAAAGTTAATAATTCCTACTTTTTGTTTTCTAAGGTTTTCCTCTATGAGTCACTGCACGAAGAGAGAAAACAAAATAAAATGTCTTGTCCATTACTTTGAAAGAATATCTCAATGTATGCCCACGGGGTTTGTTTCATTTGAGAGGAAAGTTCTTCCTCGAGGACACAATCCTCACTTTGTTTCTTATCCTGAGGCTGAGTACTGGGCCAAATCTACTACCCCACTTTGCTCTGTTGAGGTAACATCGAAACGCTCTTAGTTGCTTTTGTGAGTGTGTCTTTAATTTATCATCCTTTTGATCCCTTTTTTTACTGGAGTAGATTCATACCTCAGGAGCTATAGAAGATCAACCTGGTGAAGCTCTTGAAGTGGATTTTGCAGATGAGTATATTGGAGGCCTTACTCTGAGTTATGATACTCTACAGGTATATGACTTGTTACCTCCTTATTTCATCATTTTCTTAAACAATGATCTGCTGATTACATGTCAAAACGTCTTCCTGTGTAGGAAGAAATAAGGTTTGTGATCAATCCAGAACTTATAGCTGGGATGATCTTCTTACCTCGTATGGACGCAAATGAAGCTATTGAGATTGTTGGTGTTGAAAGATTTTCACGTTACACAGGGTAAGAAGTACAACCAGTGAACTGAAGGTAGATGCTAAGCTTATTATAGTCTTTCAAGAAATTCAACACATGTGGAACCATTTAGGTATGGACCTTCGTTTCAGTACGCTGGTGATTACACAGACGAGAAGGACTTTGACAGTTTCAAGAGGCGGAAGACAAGAGTCATAGCAATAGATGCCCTTCCTAACCCAGGAAGTACACAGTACAAACCTGAGGGCCTTCTTCGGTAATCAAAACATTGGCCTTAAGTCCTTTCTTTTCATCTAGTTCAAGGTTTGTGAATTTTCTCAGTTATTTTACTTCTATTGTTTTTGTAGAGAGGTTAACAAGGCTTTTAGCGGATACTTGCATCAATGCAAACATCAAGCCCGTCCTCGTCCATCGTCAGTTGTAGAAAGCTCTCAGAGATGGTGTATGGATGATCATGAAGAGAAGGTTGGTGTAGCTACAGGGAACTGGGGTTGCGGTGTGTTTGGAGGCGATCCAGAAGTAAAGATCATGCTTCAGTGGCTTGCCATTTCACAGGTACGCTTCTATGTTTTCATTAGTTTCTCCTGGAAGCACAAAATCATCATTCTATCTAACAGTGAAATCTCTCTGAATCTACTTTCTTCAGTCGGGAAGACCATTCATGTCATACTACACATTTGGACTCCAAGCCTTGCAAAATGTCAATCAGGTTATTAGAATCCTAACTCACTGAAACCACATCACTGTATCAAGACCTTAAGAAAGAATCTTATATAGTGTAAGTGTTTTCAGGTGATTGAAAGGATCAGTTTGCAAGAAATGAATGTAGGGGAGCTGTGGAATAAGGTAGTGGAGTATTCTGCAGAGAGGTTTGGCAGAGGAACAAGGGTTGGCTTCTTCTCTTGGCTCATGGCCTCACTCTCTGCTACCACCAATTGAATAAAAGTTTTATAATCTTTCTGTTTCATAACATTTCTCTTTCTGTTTTATGACATCTGACGTCTGTTTATTTGTTACCCATCAAGTGTTGTTTCTTTGCTACCTCTTTGAGTTTGGGTGGATTATCTTTCCTTGTGTAATTAATTGGTTTACTATCTGATCTCATCTGCTTAAAGCATTTACTCAATGATTACTGAAACTACAAATTACCAAAAATAAACATTGTTATAATCTATTCATACGATTAAGGAAGCTACAACACTCGAGAGTAGTGGAAACCAACCGAAAAAAATATAAAAAAATCTTTTGAATGCCTAAAGAAGAAAGTACTTGCGTGACACGACAAGAGAGAGAGAGAGCTAGGTTTAAGAATAACACAAAGATTTAAGTCACATAGAACAGAGCTGCTTTCCCAGGAATCTCTGATTACAACCGGAGCTCGAGGTCCACCGTGGTGTTCTCTGTGAAGAATACTAGTGAGGTCTCTGTGATAGCTTCCTGTGAGGTACTCCTAGTAGGTGTCTCTTGTACAGTCTCGAGATCAGGATCCATCTCTGTGTCCTCTGGAGGTGGTGTTCTGTTTAGATCCAAACCCTCGAATATGTTGCTTGACTCACTTGTTGGATCTTGAATCCAAACTCGAGGGGTTCTGCTTCTCCTTGGAATTTTAGGTAAGAGTCTTCTATTTGCATCTTCACACACAAACGGATCTTCAGAGATTACAACCTGAGCCATGGATGAAGATGAAGCTGCAGAGTTAAACGGAACCAGAGCTAGAGCCATAGACTCATCTCGAGGTTGAGCCACAGCTAGAGGATCGAAAGCAAGATAGAGGGTGCCATCTTCGGAGTGAAAGGACCAGAGGCGACGAGTTTGGTTTGCGGCTAGGTCGTTTTGGCGGACAAACTGGTTCCAACCACAACATAAAGCATAGTTGAAAGTGGTTCTCATCTCCCATATCCTAAGGTTAGCATTCCATTCCTTCTCAGCATCATTACTTTTCAACAAGACCACATCAAGTCCTTTGTTTACGATCTTCAGCTCTGCCTTGGTCAAGAAGTCATCCTCTGTTATCTGTTTAAAGGGTATCAAGAAACGTCCTTGGTCTGGTTTTAGATCAGTCTTTGTAATCACCTTCTCTATCACCATCTTCGCATCCACACCCTTCTTTTCCCCCATCAGCTCAACCAACCATCCCGGAGTCACTCCAGGCTCTCTTCTAACCGGTTCCTTTTGCTTAACCGGTGCCTTTCTTTTCTTAACCGGTGGCTTGATTGCTCTAATAGGTTGTGCTCTGATGGGTTCGTCCTCGGACTCCACCACACGACGCCTCTTGGACTCGACCAAACTCCTCGAAGAAGAAGAAGAAGAAGAAGCGTTTTCTTGATTCTTGGACTCATCATCATCAATCTTTCGTTTGTGACCTAACAAGAAAGTGTTGGTGGCTGCAGTAGTAATCGTTTGTATCATGAGCATGTTTCTCTCTTGTTCTTCTCTTCCACGTCTCGCTCTTGTTTCATCATTACCAAAAGCGTGAAGCAACGTCGCAAAAAGATCAAAGCATCTCTTCTCTCCCTCCTCGCCTCTTTTGTTAGCATTATCATCATCACGGGTCACCATCTTCCTCGAAAAAGCTGCAGAGTTAGTTCTCTTTTCTTTTTTTCTTGGCGATGAATCAAAACCTCTCTGGAGAAATATATAACCAACAAATAAGAAGATAGTAATGAGGAAGAGGGCTGTGAAAAGGGTAGAGTAGGAGTCTCTGTTATATATAGCTTTTCGTGATTCACCTTTCCCTATACGGACAAGGAAAATTTCCAATTCTTTATTTCCTTTTTATTACTGAATACAATCTGATAAATGTTATAAGTTCTCTCTCTTTCCATTTTTTTTTTCTAAATCCGTATTTATCTTCGTTTTTTTATTGGTTAATTTTAATTACTGCTAACAAAAAGAAATTATAATTTCTATTTCACTAATTTTTTTATTAGTGAAAACAAGCTGAAATATGTTAAGAAGCTGCTTCTATTTCCTTTTTTTCTTTTTTTAAATCTGTATTTATCTTCGTATTGTTAACGGTAACAAAAATAATAATACAACTGTAAGCATAATCTCACAAAGATTGTGTAGGTAAGTAAATCTCAGGAGATTCTCTAATCAGTTAAGAGTCCACGTGCGTGTGACATTCTTTGGATAAACCAATCATATTAAGTTATTAACGTTGTAATACTTATTTGAATCCTCTGTTTTACTATTCATTCCCATTCAACAAGATTGGAGGTAGAGTTATGCGATAACATTTATATAAAAAGTACAAACAAATATATATATCATAATAAACAACACAAAATTTCTTATAGGTTTGCAATATTCAAACAAATGACACTATATATCATTCACAACTAAGATTCAGGTACCATCGTATATTAGAAAACTGTACTGTATATTGAGTTGATTCTCCAACGAACCCATTACAAATATCGAATGGTAATGGTTTACAAGTACAAAAAATTAAAGTATATATATTGGTTATTCTTACATGAGTAGACCCTTCTATCGAAATCTATTGTTCAAAGTGCATACATTCTCTTATTGTATTCACCATTTAAAATCTCCGAATCAGAAGCCATACGAGACATAGAGAAAGACTGAGACTTGCTTCTCTCTTTCCTTATACTCTTCAACTTAGACTCCTCCATCCTATGCATTACCACACAGTAACACATGGCACCAATCGTTGTCAACATGATCGTGCCACCAATAACAGTAGCACAAACAGCCAACCACATCTCCTCTCTCCCCACAACAATGTAAGAAAGAGAAACAAAGGCAATAGATATGAACAAACAAGCACACCACATTAGCTTGTTGATCACAAACACAAGCTTCTTCTTCGCCTTCTGCTCAATCACAACAACAGATGTCTGCACCACAACAACAGCTAACGATATAAACAACGCCAAGCTGTCAAAAACGAAGAAGACAAGAAACGGTGCTTTGTTCGCTATGTGAGCTTGTCCTAGCAACGCTTCTTTAGATGGATCCTCTTCGTATTGGCCTGGGATTGTGAAGATTGCTGCAAAGGCCACTGTGGCTATAAGCACAGCCACAACGGTTGCTGAGTTTATAGCGTTGTTTAGACCGCTGATGTGGAGCTTCTTGAGTCTTTTTGCTATCTTTTGGACTCTTACACCGGTTTGTCTTGATTGTTGAAGCTGAGATTGTACCTCGTGTTTAATGTCGCTGACCGTTTGCTTCAGTTGCTTGGCTGGGTTTTGAGGCTTCCCAAGGTCTTTAGCTGTAGCAGCTCCTGCTTCTTTTAGAACTGTCACAAGCTCTCCATTTCCTATCTTTTCAGCTATGTCTAGTGGTGTGTCTCCAGCTTTGTTTATTGGGTTGAGGTTAATGCCTTCAAAAGTTACCAAACACTGCACTATCTGCAGAAAAGCCAAACAGTTTTATCAAAGAACTAATAACAATGAACAACCCCTTCTGTTACACCTAACTACTAGGCCTGCGATTGTTTTCCAAAACCAAACCAAACTTTAGGTTAACCAAAAAATTTAAAAGTAGTTCCGAAATTAACCGATATATCATTTTGGTTCGGTTATCAGTTAATTTTCATTTTCAATTTCAAAACCAAAATTAACCAAATTTTTTTTTTAAAGTACAGTTAAAATCGAATATTTTCAGTTAAATTCGGTTAGTTTAGTTACATGTAATTGATTATTGCTTAACATCGATCTAGTTTCGGTATAAATCTATTTAGTTTGGTATATATTTTTCTTATTAAATAATATTTCGGTTAACTGTTCGGTAACCAAATTGATTATAAAAGCTTTCTGACCAAACCGAACTCAAAACCAAAAGTGAACCGGAAACCGAAAATTTTGGTTCAGTTTGGCTTGTTCAGTTCGGTTCGAATCGGAAGGGCTACTGCCTAGTTTGGATAACTGAGAAAAGAAAGCATAGAGCTCTTTACCTTAACACGCCCTTTGTTAGTAGCAATGTGCAACGGTGTGTTCCCTTTGTTATCCTCAACGCTCAAAACCGCAACATCAGGTTTCACCAACTCAACAACGATCCCATCATTCTGACCTTTCACAGCCATGTGAAGAGCAGTTTGCCCCTTTTTATCGGTTCTAAACCCAATGCTTGGATCATTACCTATCAAAGCTTTAACAACTTCCACATGACCCATCCTTGCTGCTGAGTGAAGCGCGGTTTTACCGTTGTTCTTAGCTATCTTAGCTAAGTTAGAGTCTGTCTCCAAAAGAAGATTCACCACATCAATGTGTCCTTGTGTTGCAGCCGTGTGTAAAGCAGTTGTACATGATAAATCTGTTGTCATTGCCAAATTTGGGAATGTCTCCAACAGTTTCTTCAACACCTCTGCACAAGAAGAAGAGTCAAAGTAAAGAGAACAATCTAGTCTCACTGAAATTGAAGAGAGTTCTAACCAAACTAAACTAGAATTAACAAAATTTAACCAAAATTTTAACAAAATTAAACCGAAATCAAATACTTCAGTATAATTTTCAAAAACCGAACTAACCGAATACCAAACAAAACTTTACTTCGGGTTAAATCGGTTAGATGTATGGTGAACCGAACTAACTGAAAACCAAACTATCCGAACCGAATTTTATAAATTAACCAAACCCGCAGGCCTAGATGGTTCTATAGGAGAAGTTTCAAAGAATGATCTTTTTCTTACCAAGATGGCCTTGTTTAGCTGCGACATGGAAAGGATCAAACCCGTTTCTAGCTGCAATAGAAGCTGTTTCAAGATTCATATGCTTCAACATCTCCTCAACAACAAATGAATGCCCATTTTCCGCAGCAGTATAAAGAGGAGTCTCTCCTTCAAGATTCTGCTTAGACAACAACTCTCTCAACTCTTCACCATCTCCATCACAACAACTACAACCTCGTATCAACTCTTTAACCTTACCCAAGTTCCCAGTCCTAGCCGCTATATGAAGAGGCGAGTCACCTCTCTTCCCAGGTGACTCACTCTTCTTCCTCCTCTCACCAATGAAACTCAGCTGCCTCTCCATCACCACACGGAAACTCTTCTGCTTCTCAAGAAACCCTAAACCACGGAAACTCTTCTGCCTCTCCATTGATGATTTACCAAAGCTAGGAAGCTTCTCCATAACACCACGTTTATGATTCTCAACAGTGGCCACACCTCGAAAACTCAGTTGCTTCTCCATTGACCTCCTGAGTCTACTTGGCTGATGCTGATGATGGCTCTCAACATTGACGCCTTGGAAACTAACTTGTTTCTCTAAAGCTTTGGCCTTTCTAGGCTGATTACTCTCACCACATCCAAAACTCTGTTGCTTCCCCATTGGTTCCTTCTGACTAAAGCTCTGCTGCTTCTTTGAAACAGAGCTACTCTGCTGCTCTGAAACAGAGCTACTCTGCTGCTCTGAAACAGAGCTACTCTGCTTCTCTGAAACAGGGCTACTCTGCTTCTCCTCCATTATAGTCATAATATTACTCTAGTTTTTTCGTCGTTATCAGCAAAAGTAACCTAAACCCAGATGATTTCTTGTCCCTAATCTAACAAAGAAGCCTAATCTATTTTGCACACAAGCAAAACCTTAGAGAGAAAAAACAAGCTTTTCTTTGATTATCACCTTGAAGAATCCATGTTTAGTGAAGAAAGAGAGCAGCTTTCATGTGAAATCAACCCCAAGCTGTGGAGAAACTTGGAATTGGTTAAAGATGGGAAGAATATAAATCTGAGAGTTCGGTTTGAAGAAAAAAAGGGTTTAGTCTTTAATGTTCTAGAGAGAGAGAGAATGTCAGAAGCAGAACATCAGCATCATCCTTTAGTTTTGAAGAATCTTTTAGCAGCCACACTTCCTTGTTGTTAGTGCCTTGTTTTAACACGCTTTTAATTTCACCTCACTCATGTGCTGCACACCAAAAAATATCACCTCACTCATCTTCTTTGGAGGTTTTATTAGAGATATTATTGACTTCTGTATTTGATGGTGCCATGTCACCTACTCCGAGGTTAAAGTCTATAGAAGGTGAACATATTTAAAACACGATTCAACTTGTCATCTTAATATTTACACTAGTTGAATGCTTTGTTTAAAGTCAAGTCATTGTCACTTTTAGTAGAGTTAGCGTTTTGGTTTATTACTTTGGTAGTTAATTAACGATTTTCTCTTTAGTTTTGTATAGTGGTTTGTAATCAAAGAATTGTCTTGTGGAGTACAAGACAAAACTAAAGACGGCTATAAAACCTTTCATTTTCTTGCAACTCTTTTTTTGCATTTCTAATCGAGATTGTAATGTAGAAGTTTCCTAGTTTGACCAGAAATTTTAATTAATATTTGTAAATTTAAATTTTCAGATTTGATTTATAGAGTATTCTTATAAATTAATTAGTTAAATTGATAGTGTTGACAAAAAGAATTAGTTAAGTTTATAGAAAATCTTTAATATAATACAAGTGAGAACCGTTTGTCAGAATACATGTTAATTTTGACTTGTATTTTTATAAAATGGATATAACTGTTTTGAGAGATTACTCGTATAATTATTTATTACATTTATAATAAAATAAAAATATAATATATAATAAATAAATCAAAGAACTAAGTTTAAAATGATTAAATAATTAGTTTGCCGAATTTTTCTTAGCTTAGTTGTTTATGTTACTATTCTCTGTTACATAACTTTAAAAAATACTTAAAATCTGATTCTATCATTATGCTCTACCGTCTACAATATTGAATTTAAAAATCGAATCTAATTATCTGCATATCAGAAATCAGTGAATATTCATCATAGAAGACCAAGAAAGTAGTACAAAATAAGTTAGTTCTTGCGTCGAGAAGGTAATATAAAATGATGGATCCATTCAATGTGGCCGATAATTTTGTAGTCAATACAGACAAACGCCCGAAGATAAACGAGCAAATCATAAAAAGCACGTGGTCGGCTTAATAATTGTGCTTTTAATTGCAATAATTAATCAAAATTAATGATATTAAGTTTCTATAATTAAAAACTGTAGTCGCTTAAGCTCCTGAATACTTAACAAATTTTTTATTAGTTTTAGTGTTTATAGAGGATAACATCGGTTGTAAATTTGTAATATACTTTTTAAACTGCTGATATGTGTAGTAGAGCTGCAGAGTAAGCGTTGACTGAAGAGGATATAATTACATAAGTTTGCTTGGTTAGCCATAAGAAGTGTTGTATACTATATTTGAATGGGAATGTGTCTATAATCCCGTACGTTGGTGGAATAACGGTTGACAAATTTTCGACGCGTAGATTGTTATCCGTTAGTGGAACATGCACCTTTTTTGGGACTGAAAGTGGAACATGCACTTAGTGATAAGAAAACGAGTTTTTTTTCAACCAAACTGAACAGAACAGAGTGATGTGTTTGAAAATGAAAAGTGTTTTTGCTCGGACAAAAGTGGAAGAAACTTTTGACTGGTATGAGACCAAATTAGTCGGTAACCACGTTTACTTGTGGTTTTATTGCTAAACTAGAGAAGCGATATGCCTACTTTCTGTTGATCACTACAGACGTGTGATATTGATCTTAAGTGTTAAGAAGGATTAGGTGTTTCATTAGTACCCAAGAAAACAATATGTTTCATTCTAATGAAACACTCTCTTTTAACATAAGAGAAAAGTAAGTTATTTCGTAACCAAGTCGTCCTGTTTCTTACTAGAAGATAAGTATGGACTTATAACTAGTTTTATGTACACATCCGCGTCAGTCAACGCTTACTAACTTTGAACTTGACTCTCCAAAACATTTTGCAAAGTCAGTCTAGTGACCATCACAGTATTCATAGGAGATAATTATTGGAAAAAGAAGACAAAGAATATTAATCACAACAGTTTTTTTCCTCAAAATAAAGAATTTGAAAGGAAGCAACAAAGTTAAAAAATCTGCTAATTATAAAATACACAAAGTCCCAAACATAAAATATGTAAAGAAACTTTTATCTTCAAAAGTCCTTTGCTGGTCCATGAATACTCCCTACTCTGCGATGGGTTTTTAACCTGTTAAGGGAAAGGAGTATCCTCGAAGATACTTAGAGTCCACTCCTGATTCACGAGCCAACGCCACACGCCTGGTTCTTGCAACCTGTGACTGATTGATTGCCCATTAGAAACATCAATCAGAAAATGATTACTGTTCTAAGCACACAACAACTAGACGTGAAACTATACATCAGAAAATGTGTCAAGCTTTGGTTTTTTATTTTATTCAGAGACCATGCGTAAGATAACCATCAATGAATTTATTAACGCTAAGACTTGCAAGTTATAACATCGAGTAAGAGATGAAAACTAACCTCACATATACCGTAGGGCTCCAACAACATTTGCAGTGCAACCATCTTGTCAAGATCCCCAGTAAGCTAATTTCACAACATGCAATATTCAGTAAAAAATCCAACAAAAAACGAAGGAGAAAAAAAGGATTTAGATAGAAAAGCTGCTTCATAAATTTTGTCAAACGGAACTCAGATTATATCAAACAAGTTATAGACTTTCAAGATCTTTAATGGATAAGATATCTCTACTACTATGCTACTAAACCTCTAATAAAAACATAGTTTATGTAAAATGCAATATACCTGCAAAGTAATTGTATGATCAGGTACGTCAACAGCTTTTGACTGAAAATACTAGCAATGTCCAGGACATCTCTTCTCGCACAGCAATCTTAATCAGCATCAGTTCTCTTTCAGCAAATGGCAAATGAGTAAGATCATGGACCTGCAGAATGGTCAAGATTCTGTTCATCAAGCTTTTGCAATTATAGCATTCGAATAAACCTATAAGATTGTAGGAAAGTCCAAAAATAATTCTTCTGTGTATGATAAATGGCTTAAGGTAAAAGAACAAAGGATAGAGACGCCAAGAGCATTCAAACTGTTAAATATATTACTAAGTGACATAATCACAAAGCATCCTTTACAAAAACGTTCAATATTTGAATATCACCTCTCACCATCTTTCCTTGCTTTTGCTAATTTATACAGTAGAAAAAAAAGAGAGAGAGAGATGCACATGAAATTGACTATAGAACATTCATCATTCTTACTTTATAGAAAACAAAACAGAAACAAAGCATCAGATAATCATACAGCAAACATAAAGAGATGCTTCCATACAAGAGAGATCATTAACCATTTGACATATATTAGAAGGATCATACTCAAACTGCAAACAATTCTAGCGGTTTCTGCGTTTGTTCGGACCAATTATCTTAACGAGCCACTCAGGTTTGTATGTAGCAATGAGGTGTGCTATTGCGAGTCCAAGCAAGACTCCAGCTCCATACCCTATTGCCACACCTTTCCAGTTCAACACTTGTTCTTCCTCTTCTTCTCCTTCTTCTTCCGGAGGTTGTTGTGTTGATAGCGCATTAGTCCCAAAGAAGCAAGTTTCTTGGAGAGGAAGACCACAGAGCCCTGCATTCCCTTCAAATGAAGATTTAGGTTGTCCAGTAATCTGTGTTCCTTGTGGTATTTCACCCTTGAGTTGGTTGTGAGACACATTTATGTACGATAAAAACGAGAGGCTTCCAAGTCCATTAGGAATAGTCCCTGAGAGTTGGTTGCTTGATAAATCTAGTGACTCGAGATTGCTCAGGTTGGAGAAAGACAGAGGAATATGGCCTGTGAAGGCATTGTTTGATAAGTTGAGAGCAATCAATGCTTTCAGGAGACCAATTGATTCAGGAATCTCTCCTTCAATTCTATTCCCAGAAAAATCAATAGCGGCGTAGGAAGTAAGGACCCCCTGTTGCTCCATAGTTAGACCTTTGTATCGCAAATCTATAGTCTCAGTGTACATATAGTAAAGTCTTTCAGAAGTATCTTTTGTGTATATCATATATAGACCACCATCTTCATTCATCTTAAGTGATGCTGCTTTCCAATTGACAAAGTATGTTGGTGTCAAGCTTCCAGTAAACATATTATCAGATATCTCAAATATTTGTAGCTCTGGAAACCCGAGAGGACCATGATCAGGAGGAGAGATAGAGCCATGTAACTTGTTTGAACTGAGGATAAGGACTTGCAAATTTGGTAAAGCCTTGAGCCAGAAAGGAAACTCGTCTTTGATTCTGTTGTGGTCAGCAACTAGGAACTCTAGAGATGTGCAATTTTGAAGAGATCTTGGAAGTTTCCCGGTGAGTCGATTGTGTCCAACGTCAAGTGTCTGTAGAGAAGCACTCTTATAAAATGCGTCAGGAATACTTCCTTCCAACTTGTTCTTCCGAAGATTCAGAAGGGTCAAGCTGTGACTCAAGCATTGAGGAATTGAACCCGTGAGGTTGTTGTAATCTAGCCTCAAATGCGTCAGAGACTTATCATTGCAGATTGAAAGAGGTATGCTCCCTGTGAATCTATTGTTGTTAGCAGCAAAGATGTTGATAGAGAGGGGTAGAATAGGAACTGCTCCTTCAAAATAGTTTTGCTCCATAAATAAATTCTTCAGTGATGAATTTACCAAAACTTTCGTTGGACCTTCGAAACCATCAAACGAATTATAAGTTAGACACACTGTGTTTAGACGAGGAAGCTTCCATAACCACTCAGGCACTTTCCCTTTGATTAGATTTCCTGTAATGTCGATATTCTCCAACTTCTCAAGGTTCTTTAAAATATTTGGGAACTCGCTGATGCCGCAACTTTGTAACAGCAAAATCTCCAGGTTTGTTGAGATTTCTGAATTTGTATCATCTAAACTGGCCGGAGATATAATATTATCGGAAAGATTGAGGAATGACAAAGAATTAAGAGAGGAGAAGAGTCTTAAGTCAACTGGATAGCTTGTGTTTAGGTAAGAGAGTTCTAG